ACTGAAAATGATTTGAATATACCTGAACCCTAAGATGTAAGAGAAGCACTTATGAATTCAATTTGGAAACAGGCCACGGACGAAGAATTCAATGCATTGAAAAAGATGAAAACTTGGAAGCTCGTACCTGCATTACCAACTCACAACATAGTGGGAAACAAATGTGTCTTTAAGATCAAGTATAATGGTGATGGATTAGTTCAGAGGTACAAGGCCAGGTTAGTGGCAAAAGGTTTTCATCACACTCCTGGAATTGACTACTATGAGACCTTCAGCCCAGTGATCAAACCATCTACTCTAAGGATTATACTTACTCTGGCCAGTGCAAAGGAGTGAACAATTAGACGGGTAGATATAAATAATGCTTTTCTCAATGGAGAACTTAAAGAAACTGTCTACATGATTCAACCGGAAGGTTTTGTAGATAAATCAAAGTCAAATCATGTTTGCAAACTCGAGAAAGCTCTCTATGGATTGAAACAGTCTCCCAGAGCCTGGTATGATAAACTAAAGGCCACATTCTTGAGTTGGAAATTCAAACAATCAGCATCTAATACTTCATTGTTCTACTTCAAAATAGAAAGGCAGGTAATTTTTGCCCTCGTCTACGTCGATGACATAGTCATAACAGGCAATGACAAAGATCTAGTGCAAGGTTTTATAAGTTCACTTAACAAGAAATTTACTCTGAAGNTTACTTGGTATCAGAGCAGCCATGGCCAACGCCATCAGCACGCCTCAAACTGCTGCTCTAGCATCTCTTTCCAGCAGCACTACTGCACCAACACTTGGAAACACTCAGCTCTCACCGTTTAGTGTCAACTTAACTCAAACCGTATCTATCAAGCTTGACAAGAACAACTATTTGCTATGGAAGAATATGATCCTTCCAATTATTAGAGGCCACAATCTAGAAGTCTATATACTTGGGACAAAGGTGTGTCCTCAAGAATTTATTGGTAATCAAATTAATGGAGAAGCTGGAACCAGTATAGAAATGGTGAAGAACCCGGAGTTTTGCCAATGGATGTTAACAGATCAACTGTTGATGGGGATGACTTTACTCATCTATGACCTCAGATATAGCAATGAGAGTGATGGGTGCAATCAACTCGAATGGACTGTGGACAGCCATTGAAGAAAGCTATGAAGTCCAAAATAGATCAAGGATAATTTTCCTTATTGGTGAACTTTAAAAATGTAGGAAAGGCACTATGAGCATAGATCAGTACCTGAATAAGGTAAAACAACTCTCTGATAACTTAGAAATTGCTGGGAAAACCATTGCTCACACTGATCTAATCACTCAAGTCCTAGCGGGACTAGATGAAGACTACATACCAATTTTTGTTCAACTGAATAGCAGGGATCAAATGTCTT